ACCAATAGCGGACTTTTAGATCAAATATGATTAATTTGCATATTATCAGTGTCTAAATGTGTATTGTATTGTATTTACCGTGTAGTGGCGGTGTAAGAACATCAAGCACTCCATATCATCCTATGGGTGTCGTAAGAGACGACAGAGGGAAATTAAAAGGGGAGATGGACAGCTGCATTTTTCTTATAACAGCTCAATAATCTTATTTTTTTTAAAACAATTGTTATCCTTTAGTCTCGCTAAAACTCAAAAACGGCTCGAACGATTTTGATGATCTTTTTTGTGTGCACTTGAGTGGGTCCCTAGTTGGTTGAGATTCACAATTCGACCCGGTAGGTGACGCTATTTCTGTGATCCAGAAATCACTCGTGCGAAGCCGGAGCGTATCGCTAGTAATAAATATAAATAACATTAGTAATTATGTAACCAGCACCGTCATCCACAAAGTAATATTTAAAGAAAATCTGAACGCTGATCATCATTCATCAGGTAATTTACTTATAGAATAAGGTTGACAAACGAGCACACAGTTCACCTGATGGTAAGTGGTTGCTGTGACCCATAGACATCTACATCTATCCTCGTTTGCGAATCAAAATACATATCCGTTGTCACCTGTGAGGACTAAGATCGAATGCCTCGCGTCCAGTCCAAGGGGTCTCCGGTTAGTTAATATTAGTCGCCCAGGAAATAAGGCAAATGTAGAGCAGTCATAATGATTAACTTTGCAATAGCATATCATGACATTTACTAGGACAAAGGTAGTTTATATTAACCAGACCTCGGAATTTTGAAATTTACCATTGTTTGATTGATGAGGTGAGCACTCTGCATTTAGCAAAAATTCAATAAAAATGACCATGGTATCAGCAACTCTGATAACATTATAAAATATTAACACGAGAGTACGTAGAGACACTCACCATACGAAACAGAAGCGTTAAGCTACTATTTTACGCTGGTATTCTGTGAGAGCGTGGTCCTTCCCCGGTCGAGCCGATCCATTCGTGCTACAACTAATGATATAGCTTCAGCATGACTCTACCATGTATAAAGCTTATATATTATATTTACATATAGATTTTAGTAGTCCAGCGGTGCTATTTGTCCGTTCCACTTCGATCAACAGCCGTGAAGGTATCCATAAGGTACCTCGTTATTTAACTTTCTAAGTAAGAAGTGCATTATATTTTCTTTTCACATCAACAATTTAAATTAAATGCCATTGACCGCGTCTTCATCTAAAGTTATAAAAAAGGTAACTTTACCTTAATTTTATTATAGTTTTAAAGCGGCAAACTGAGCAAACTATTGCATATTGTATTATAGGTATATAATATATATTGCGAGCGACTAAGTTTGATGGTTTCCAGTTGTTAAATTTATTATGTTGATAGTTGACGGCTGTAAGTCAGACGCGTTTTTATACACCGCTAGCTATTGCGTAATAGGTCTATACCTAGATAGGTACTTTTTATTATTCTTAGTCATTCTATGTTTCTTCGTGGAAAATAACCCCATCTGTGGTAGCAGTGTCGGTGAGTTTGGGCACCACGGACTTTTAGGTAAGAAAAGTGCTGGTAGGTTTTTCCGTCACGGTTTGAACGATGTCATCCGGAGAGCTTTTTTCTCTATAAATGTTCCCACGTTTTTAGAGCCTTGTGGAATATTTAGAAACGATGGCAGGAGACCCGACGTTATGATTTTGGTCCCTTGGGTGAAAGGTAAAGCCGTAATGTGGGATGCTATTTGCGTAGAGGTTTTTACATGGTAGAGCCATGCTGCAGCTCTATTATGGTTATAGCACGAATGGGTTGAGCCATGCTCTCACAGAATGCCAGCGTAAAATAGCAGCTTAATGCTGCTGTATTTCGTATGGCGATTGTGAAAACGGAGAACCTCAAGGGACAACGCATCTGCATCTTGATTCTTTATTGAAGATAAATGTGTATGGGCCACAGCATCCACTACAAGGTGGACTTTGTGCTTGTTTGTCACCTTTTATCTATAAAAAAATATTAAGTTTTCAGTTTGTGACATTAGGCACAGAGAAGCTGGGGCCATGGAGACCTGAAGCAGGACGTTTGTTGTAATACAAGGATACAACTCACCAGTCTACTGGGCACACTACAAACGGACGTCGAAACATAGCTCACAATCTGGTGACAATGAAAGAATATGAAAAAAAACTTTTTTTTTTACTTTTTAATCCGTTTTAAAAACGTGGTAAATATTTAAAAAAATAACCTCAACATCGATATATACTATATACATCGATATGTACTACGTACTAAATTTCGCATTCCGAACATACACTATGTTCAACTGAACTATACTGCAATCCGTACAGTGTATCATTTAGTGTGGTTTCAATCTACTAGTTAAGTCTGTGGTTTCAATATACATACAGTGTGGTACGGCGCCAAAGAGATTTAAATATATAGGTATACTATAGAGCGGACATTGGGAACATTTATATACAAAACCTTTGCCAGTGCGCGTGTGGCACCCTCTAGCTAAAAATAGCAAAACAACGCTAAGCATTTATTAAGACAACATTTTAGCTATTCGCCAGTAGGTGACGCTAATTAATATAACCTCGTTTTAGGATATCAAAGTATCGATATTGTTGTTGAAGATTACTAAGTTTTAAATGCTTTTCGATATAATAAAAGGGAATAAACATGATTGTTTTATTGTATACATCTATTTATTATGACTTCCACCACACGAAAAAAATCAAATTAACTTTTTACGCCCCTTGAGTGTCATGAAATAAAATATTTAATTTCCAATAAATAAGAATAAATTCAAACAGCAGTCACTTTGGTTGCCACCTTGGTGGTATGACGTCACTCGGTTCATTAGCTGCTAAAATAATAGCATATGATTGATCGGTCGGCGTTAAAGACACATCGAGAAACGCCAAATCCAATAAGAGAGCGCCTCTATGTTTTTAAATTCGTTTCTATTACAAAAATACACTTCAAAACACTGAACTTAAAAGCCGTTTCACGATTTTTCACGTTTCATCAGCTGCAGTACTTAAAGACCACCAAAGTCAGCCAAACCCACGTCAATAAAAATTGTTATTTTAAGTTTTTACCTTATTTTCTAACTCAGGCTTAACCTACAACTTCTTGCATCTAATATATTTAATAGTGCAAATTGTTTTTAATGTAAGAAATCTAGTTATAGAAGCTATAGAGGTTTTATTAAAGAAAAACTGTACAAAAAGGGTTATTATAATATCAAGGAATACATGAATGAAAATAACCCCTGGGAATAAGGTGATCGTCACCATGCTGGTTCTATGAAAAATCATTTAAAATTGTATAGATGAAATTATTGTTAAGTGAAATATGTTTGAAAAAAAAAAGTCCCGCTGGGTTTCTTGCTGGTTCTTCCCAGGACAGAGGTATTTTCCGAACCAGTGGTAAATAAAAAATGACTTTCAATAAGAATTATGTAATAATCAATATTGAATAAAAAATATTCTATTCTATTCTATTCTATTGCCCTCTCCTATCACTGTAATCGAGAATCTATAATGGCTTTGTCCTTGAAAGCCACCAGACAATGAACCCCGGTGTAAAACCACCAGACAATGAAGCCTAGTATGTAAAAGAGAAGACTTGCTGTATTGCTTAACATCAACACACCAAGTATCCTTAGCATGCTCATAAGCAACACAGAAAATCTCATCAGCACATAAAGTAGGGTACTTAGCATAGTTTGTATATGCTACTAATTTTTGTTGGTATGGGTACAGTATCGTTGACTGTTTTACCTCCTTAAATATTGTAAAGGACTAAATCGGCATCCTGTATATTTTTATCGATAATCCCAGTCGATAAACGTCGTCAATCACTAACTTTAAAATTGGTAACTAAATAGTGACGTTCACTGGACAACAGAGGGCGCTTATTAGAATAAAAATAAATGTTCTAGAACAAACTACTAGAAATAATAAAATTTAAAGATTATTCGGTAAATATATATTATATTTACGATAATAAACCGAAATCACATTCATTTTTTGCTCCATATCGTGACTTACAATATCTTAATGCACAACCGGGCATATTTTCTTTGAAAATATTTTTTATATATATGAAACGAATGCGTCTTGACTTTTTGACGATGTCACTAAGACTAAATGACAAAACCGAAAATATATCCTATAGGACATAAGTTACAGACGACAATTTTGCTACTGATGTCCGGTCTATTACTACTACTACCTACTGAAATGTCTTTGTACGGCGCTAATAATACAATTTTAAGTTAAAATTTTAAATTAAAAACTGACCGCGCATGCGCGAAGACATAGAGTAGTACACATTTTTTGTTTAGAATGGCTTCTCTAGTACGTAGTACATATAACTCAATGAACCTCAATAATTTCTCAAAAGCGCGTAAAGTGAGGACAGAAAAGAATAGATTATTCATGTTTATAGGTGATCCTCAATTGACTGGCTTATATATTAGTTACATGATAGGTTTCGGTGTAGATGTAAAGTTGTAGATATGTGAATGTGACCTAGGTTGTTGAAAATAATAAAAAAAAACAACATAGGTACGTTTCTCTAGTTTATTTCAATTGATACTGATTGAGACTATATTAGGTACTTATACTGCTATAAATATTTATTGAATTGCTTTGTAGGATAATACTTAAAATACAAGTTTACAAGATTATTCTTTAATGTAAATAATTATATTCTACATAGGTATTAATATTATAGTATCATAATATAAAACTATAATAATTATATATTTACTGACTGCTAAATTAAAACTGACGATTTAAAACAGACTAACATTATTTTGTTCATTATACAATATATAAAATTAAATAAGTACATTACCAAAATAGAACTCTAAATTCATAATTCTAAAGTAAAGCAGTTGATAAAGGCAAAAATCTTCGGTCGAGTTCAAATTGGCGAGTGGCGACGTAATTTTTTTTTAAGTTATTATACTTTTTCAGTATTTATCTATACTGAGTAACCGAATTGGCATTCTCTAATGTGATCGGAGACGATTTCTGCGGTCTCATCGCTAATCCTCCCAGCGTCATTCAGAATTTTCACTAAATTAGTCATAGTATAAATCGATCGCATTTGCACGCCATTTGCTCTAAGCACACTAGCGCCACCTTGTTCCCGGTCGAGAACTACTACAGCGTGTGTCACTTGTAAACCTTCGCTGCGTAGAGTTGTAACGGTTTCTAATAAGCTGCCGCCAGATGTCACTACGTCTTCAATAACGAGACATTTTTGTTCTTTCTCGAAAACTCCCTCCAATATTTTCTTGGTTGCGTATAATTTAGTTTCCTTCCTCTTCATAATCATCGGTGTGTTTGAATTAACTGACATGACGGCTGCAAAAGGTAAAGCTGCGTACGGCACTCCACAGAGAATGTCATGTGGTATTTCGGATGCTAAAGCTTGTAACTGACGGGATATCGCCATCTGTAAAATATTATGTTAATAAGTATACTTTAAAATATTACGTGCTGTGTGATGGCAGCGTAAAAGAATCAATCATCTCGGTTCATACCATGGGTATTGTAAGAGGCAACCAAAGAGTTTATTAACTGTCCTAGAGACTACGAAATGCCAGAAAAACCGATAATTTCCGATAGATGGTGTTATAAAGCCGCGTCTCCACCAAAGTTTTGTTGCCAACACGTGTTGCCAACAAATGTTTCTGTCAACAAGCGTCTCCACCGAGGAAACAAATGTTGGCAACAAGCGTATTCCTTTGATGTTGCCGTCGAAAATGGAAACAAGTTTTGTTGGCAACTGTTGTGTTGACAACAAAACTTTGGTGGAGACGCGGCTTAAGGCGTGTCTTGTGTTCCTGATGCGCCTCGCCTGAGAAGGAGAATGGGGAGAAGGGGCTGCCATGGGGCGGCCAGCGCTGGTGGAGCTGTGGATGTGTGCGAAAGCGTTCCCGTGTCCCTGCCAATATGCGGCGAAGGTGGAACACCATGGGGTTTTAGTCGGTGCGATTCCGAACATAACCCGTCCTTACCCCTGCAAGGCGGAGTGCGTAGGCATTTCCCCATGAAAAAAAAACTGCAGCGTCAAAGGCACAGAGTACTTCACAGATAATTTGCTATAAGTATAGGAGTACCTGCTTTATTGTATAAGTACCTATACTCGAAGTGATAGGTGCAAGACAAACTGTATAGGAATTTTGGCGGGAACTTGACCGGCGGCGGTGTGCTGCTCCTGTATTATTGTTTAAATAATGGTTTGAAGTGGATTTTGATATGTAAAAGTGGTGCGATTTTGTGTATTAAGTGTCATGTTAACTATTATTGCAAACGGTGACACAAGTGCTCTGATAGTAAGGTGTCTGTCTGCTTAGGGGCCTGGAGATACCATCGCCAACTGTCAACTGTCTGCTGGCTCAAGTTGCCGTCAAAAACTCCCAAGGGCTGCACAATATGACGCATCAACATATTGTGAAGCAGTGCACTATGAAGGATAATTATACATTGTAACTTCAGGCTCAGAAGGGCTAGAACCAAGAGCCGTAAAGCCAGTTATTAAAAAAAAACAACTGTATACTTTATTTTTTATAGAAAGAATAAAGGTGACAATTGACAAACCAACGCACACTCCACCTAAGTGGTGGTGGTAAGTGGATACTGTGACCCATAGACATCTACATATATCCTCGGTTAAGAATCAAAATGCAAACCTGTTGTCACCCCTGAGGACTAAGATGGAATGCCTCATTTCTAATGAAAAGGATCTAGACTATACTATAGGCAATATTAACATTTGTAAATGCAACTTCGATCGTAACTCTGTCAAGCACGACGATTAGGCAAACCCTTTTACAATGGGAGAGCTCCATGTCCAGTCGTGGGTTTTGCGGGTTGATTAAGTATATATTTTTACGTGGTAGAGCTGCAACTATATTTGTAGTATAGTTGTAGCACGAATGGGTCGGCTCGACCGGAGAAGGACCACGCTCTCACAGAATACCAGCGTAAAATAACAGCTTAACGCTGCCGTGTTTCGTATGGTGAGTGTAGAGAACCGGAGACCCTTTTTACTTGCAAAGTGGCATTCCATCTTAGTCCTCACGTGTGACAACGCATCTGCATCTTGAATCTTTATTGCGGATAGATGTAGATGTCTATGGGTCACAATAACCACTTACTATCAGGTGGACTGTGTGCTCGTTTGTCACCCGATCCTATAAAAAAAGGAAGAAAAGAATAATATGATTATAAGATTGTCTCACGCCCCACGCACGTACTGGTTTACTCTTTTGTTTATTTCTGTTTGTGTCCGTTTTAAAACAATATTCTATAGGTAGGTCAGTGAGAAAGTGCCTACTTTAGTTTGCATTTTTCAATGCGTACCGTGTAGGACGGAAACAAATCAGGAGATCTGCCCATCTCCTGATTTTTTTCCGTCCGTCTTCCTAATAACGAGTAAAATAAAAAAAAAGCTATGGTTGCCAACCCGCTTGCCAAGCGTGGTAACCATGAAGAGGCCATTACGTTAACGATAACTTTAGGAAAATCGAAAAAATAATAACCATCAACCGGGGATGCGACACGACGACCCTCAGGTCGAAGTATATTGGTGTCCGGCGTCCAACCTTCGCCTCAATGTCACCCAACCGCACAGCGCCTGCGTCGAACAGCTGCACAGCCAGATCTTCCAGCTTTTCGGCCATCTTCTGAAAATTATATAGTTCATTATTGATCACTACATTTTGTTGAATATCTGTTTTAATACGAATTATTTATTTTATAAAAGTTCACAACCGAACATAACCCTTTGTGGGCTATCATAGTAATGCCATGGGAATAACCGGCTAAGTGCGAGTTGGACTCGCGCATGAAGGGTTCCGTTCCGTACCATCGTAAAACACGTTTCTAGTAGGGGAGTCCCTTTATTTTTTTTATTTTTTTAATTTGATGTTATTGCGGCGACAGTAATACACATTCTGTGAAAATTTCAACTGTCTATATATTACGGATCATGAGATACAGCCCGCTGACAGACAAACGGACGTACAGCGGAGGCTTAGTAATAGAGTCCCGTTGGTTACCCTTTGTACCCGGAACCCTAAAAACGTGTAAACAGTCCACCTGATGATAAGAGGACGATGTGGCCTCCTCTCTCTCTGCATTTTGATCCTCGATTGATATGCGTTATTACGCTTAAGGACTAAGATGGCATGTTGCGTTACAGTAAAATGAGTCTTCATCTCTTCACTCACCATACGAAAAACAACAGCATTACAGCAGTAATTATTATCATAATTTGACCGTGTTACTGACAGTGTAAAAGCCGTGACAGCTCAGTAGTTAAGCGCTCGCGTTAGTTTTACAGTACTAGAGAAATACGGGTTCGATATCCACCGGCACCAATGAAATTGTGAATTGCAATTTTAAGTGCTAATTTAACACGTGCTTGGCGGTGAAGGAAAGCAGGAATCCTGCATGCTGAGGAATAAATAATATTTCAATGTCAAGTTAAGACACACAGTGGAGAAGCGAGTGTAATGAGAAGGCCTGTGCCAGGTGGTACTTCTACATTAAAAATGACTGCACGCGAAAGGCATCCTCCCTTTAAAAAGAAGGTTTTGGGGCTAAGAAAAATCTCCCCCGCTATTCAAAAGTGTTTTTCTTAAAAGTAAGTGTGACAAAAATGAGCACACATAACAATGAAGTGGATGCTGTGGTCCATAGACCTCTATATCGTTCCCGGCTCAAAGTATCTACATCTATCCTCGTTATCTATCTGTTAATTCAATTTACGTTTTTTAATTTATAAATGTACTATTTTGTAATTTACGAATAGAATGGAATAGAATAGAATGATTTTTATTCAATATGGATTATTACATAATACTTATTGAAAGTCATTATTTTATTTACCACTGGTTCGGAAAATACCTCTGTCCTGGGAAGAACCAGCAAGAAACCCAGCGGGACTTTTTTTTAAACATAATTTCACTTAACAATAATTTTGTTTATACAATTTTAAATGAATTTTCATAGAACCAGCATGGTGGCGATCACCTTATTCCTAGGGGTTATTTTCATTCATGTATTCCTTGATATTATAATAACCCTTTTTGTACAGTTTTTCTTTAATAAAACTTTTAAACTTGTTTATTGACAAACTTTGAACATGTTCTGGGATTTTGTTGTAAAACATTGCCCCATAATTACGTTATCATAATAGCCATCTATCCTGTAGATGGCTATTATGGTGGCGTGTAGATTGTTTCACAGCGTCCGAGACAGAGGTCAACATGGACTGGCTAACCGATGTGTCCTAGACATATCATCTTAGTGCCGGTGGTAAGCGGGTTTGTTGTAGCAATACGACTTGCCCGTGGACATCGCACACCCATACCGTTTGTGGGCGACGTCTTAGCGCATAGCGTTATGACTTATGATACGTCGGCTATCTTTCGGACTAGGGTGAGTGTGTTTGGTAGTACCTAGTCAGGTCATAAATTCTGTCACATGTTTAATATAATATAATTGAAACAAGTTTTTTCATTATGTAACCATTTATATACCAAAATGAACTTAACAAAACATAGATTCTTATGACTAGGTACTTTTAAGTGCAGCAAGCATACTCAACTCCATGTCTTAGTGCGATAGCGCTATCATACGTGGATATTTAGTTAACATTATCAATTTTGTTGCCAAAGTCGATAGGGATTATGAGGGTGTGGGTGAGTATATTATATATTAAATCTTTATAATGTTAAAACTTCTTAATGATAGAAATAATGTTTCCAGATCGAATTTCGGTCACGGCAGCCGGTCTCAACGGAGACTACCCATCTGCGCAGGACAGGATTAAACAGCCCGAGTGTATGCGCAAGCACAGGTGCACAACAGGTGTAATAAATAATATTTTTGACCCGACATCGTATTCGAACCTGAAGCCTTCTGTAGCCTTGCCTACGAACACTAGACTATCGAGCTAGTCAATATTTATTAACTTACATTAAAAACATACAACATATAATACCTTAGAGTAATATCATATTATATTATCTGTATAAGATATTGACTTCTAGCTTGCTTAGTTTGAAAATGATATAAAAAACATGTGTGTGTGTGTGTGTGTGTGTACTTATGTACGCACGTAAGAGTAAATACTTCTTTAGCGTAACAAAAAAAAATTACTAAAATAAAACACGTTTTATAGATTCATATATATTTGAATAACTACCTTGAAGTAGTTATCAGTTCTCACGAAAACTTGACAGTTGACAGACAATTACCAACTAGACAAGTAACAACTTCATGGTGTCGTTTTTAAGTGTTAAAAAATCACTCTTGTGATTTTTCTCAAACGCGCTCAAAAGAAGTATAACTTCAAAAAGAGTAGGTACTCAAGTACTTATTTGTCATAAACAACAGTTTCACCACAACTGTTTCTTAGACGCTATAAATTATAATATTAAAAGCTTGACCTGTATACGTAATGTATGAATTTAATGGAATTTTGTAATTTAGTAATCACCACTGAACGCACATTTGTCCGCGCCGTATGCGCCGAATTTTACTGATGGCCTCGCACATTTGCACGTACGCAACGTCCGCGCCGTATGCAAATCTTTTGCATTGCCAAAAAATTTTGCAGTTTTTTCTATTATCACTTGATACTGAGATAAATGAATATATGGCTTAAAGAACAAGCGACCAAGCCAAAGGTCTTAATTAAAAAAAATTATTATTAGGAACCGATTACAATATTAACTTTATGACTATACCCTAGTGTTTCTATATAGTTTGTGCTATACCCTAGCATTTACGACAGGATTCCGCTCATGATCAATATTGAAGAATATTACTCCAATTTATTTTAAAACCACTCACTATGGATGTTGACCACTGACTATGAATATTTATCACAAAACTGGAAGTATCAAATAACTTCATCTAGATACGATATTATTATTGCGTTTTAGCGATCATCTCAGATTTAAATTGCCTTATTATAGTAATCAATGCATACATAAATAAAAATAATTGTACATATTCAGTTTGGACGGATATTTTTTTTCCACATAATAATAAAAAAATATAAACGGAGCGTTGCGTATATTTTACGTGTACCGGAATCATGCTCTTGGCACGCACTCACGCACACATCTTTCGTCTTTCTTTCTTTATAAGCGTAAAAGTTCATTGTTGGACGCACACTGAATAGGAATTTGATCTCTTTTTAATAGTAAAATGCAGTAATTTGCTCAATCGACCTTTACTTGATCTCTAAATTTTACAACGACGACAGGTACAACATTTTTTAAACATACCTACACAGCTTACGGACTAATATTGGCATGAGAACTGCTAATATAATTTGACAGGCGCTTCAACATGCCCCCCGGCGTTGAAAGTCTACCTTTCAACCAGATTCTTCAGGTTCAGGAAGCGGACAAATTTTGCTAAATGATCGGCGAACTATACCAGTCGATGTTTTGCTATCCGCCACCCTTGATACGCCGTCCGAGCCTGGATGGACTGCGACGATGCGACCCATCTTCCACTTTAATGGCGGTGAATTCTCCTCTTTTAGGAGTACCAGTGAATTTAACTTCAAAGAGCCTTTACAGGAACGCCATTTCATCCGCAGTTGAAGCTCTGATATATATTCCTTGCTCCATCTAGCCCAAAAATGTTGACGTAATTGTTCTATTCGTTGAAATCGGGTTAAAGAGCTTACGGAATGATCTTTATAGTCTGGTGTCGGCAAGGAAGTTAAGGGGCGTCCAACCAAAAAATGACCGGGCGTTAGTGGTAGCAAGTCTTCAGGATTCGTTGACAAAGGTGTGAGTGGTCTGGAGTTAAGTATAGCCTCAATTTGTATTAATGTGGTATTTAGTTCCTCGTAAGTCACATTACAATTGCCCAGCACTCTAACTAAATGATATTTAATGCATTTGACACCAGCCTCCGCAAACCCAGCAAAATGGGGAGAATAAGGCGGTATGAAATGGAAATTAATTCCTTCATTTGCCATTACCTCAGATAAAGAATTACAATACGTCCTAATAAATTTTGAAATGTCATTGTATGCGCCTACAAAGGAGGTACCATTATCCGAATAAATATTAAGAGGTTTCCCTCTTCTAGACATAAATCTGCGCAAAGCTAATATGAAGGTATTGCTAGTTAAATCACCCACTAATTCAAGATGAATTGACTTAGTCGCGAAGCAAATAAAAATAGCTATATACACCTTTACAATTTTACAACCACGGCCATGGCGAGAAACAGATTGAATTGGTCCCGCATAGTCTAGTCCAATATTTTGAAATGGAAAACCAGAAAGGATGCGTTGGTGTGGTAGGTTGCCCATTATTGGAGAGATGGTTTTTCCTTTCATTCTATTACATCTTACACATTGTCGATAACAAGATCTGGCCAAATTACGACCTCTAATCGGCCAGTACATCTCTCTTATAGTGGCCAACATTAGCTGTGGTCCCGCGTGCATTAACCTTATGTGCTCATAATTGAAGAGCAATTTGGTAAAATAATGAGTGGACTGTATAAGTATGGGATGTTTTTTCTCATAACAGTAATCGGAATTTTCAAGACGCCCTCCAACACGCATTATTTTATTATCATCGAGAAATACATTAAATTTATGCAACGGACTTTTAGTGGGTAAACTTTTATTTTTAATTAA